CCTGTGGTCCCAGCTACTTGGGAGGCGGAGGCAGGAGACTCGCTTGAGCCCAGGAGTTGGAGGTTGCTGTGAGCTGTGATGCCACGGTACTCTACCCAGGGGGACAGCTTGAGGCACTGTCTCAAAAAAAAAAAAAAGAAAAACTAGTTGGATGTTGTGTTGGGCGCCTGTGGTCCCAGCTACTTGGGAGACTGAGGCGGGAGGATTGTTCAAGCCCAAGAGTTTCAGGTTGCCATGAGCTATGATGCCATAGCACTGTACCCAGGGCAACAGAGTGAGCCTCTCTCTCAAAAAACTCCCCAAAAATATATACATAAAATAACTTTTAAAGACAACCTTGGAAATAGTTAAACTAACATAATTCTTGCATTAGATGCCCTTTTCTGACCCTTCGGGTCTTATATAAGTTGTCTTACATTATTTTGCTGTATATAGTGAGGTCTGTGGCTGTTCCTCTTCCGTTCTTTGTGTGTTTGTGTGACAGTTACTCAGTTGCCCTGGGGTTTAGTGCTGTGGCATCATATCTCACAGCAACCTCAAACTCTTGGGCTTAAGTGATCCTCTTGCCTCAGCCTTCCGAGTAGCTGTGACTATAAGCTCCTACCATGATGTCCAGCTATTTTTAGAGATGGGTTCTTGCTCTTGCTCAGGCTGGGCTTAAACTTCTGAACACGCAATCTGCTCACCTCGGCCTCCCAGAATGCTAGGATTACAGACGTAGGCCGCTGTGCCCAGCCTCCTCCTCCATTCTTAGTGGCTGACTTTACTTTTTGAAGTGACAATTAGAAATGGGCAGCTCCTTGTTTTGATCTGAGTTAGTTGCTTTTGTCCTGTCCCACTGGTCGGGGAGAAATGAGTACCAGCTCACTTCCTGGCAGGAGTAAAGGCTGGGAACCTTCACTTAGTCTTTGCCTGACACTTTTTTTTTTTTTTTTTAAATTGAGACAGAGTTTCACTTAGTCACCCTTGGTGTCATAGTGCCGTGGTGTCATAGCTCACAGCAACTTCAAATTCTTTGGTTCAAGCAGTTCTCTTGCCTCAGTCGGCCTAGTAGCTGGGACTACAGGCGCCCACCACAATGCCCGGCTATTTTTTGTTGTTGTTGTTTGTTTGTTTGTTTTGTTTAACAGGCTTGGGCTGGGTTTGAACTCACCAGCCCTGGAGCATGTGGCTGGTGCCCTAATCACTGAGCTACAGGGACCCTCCCTAACACTTATTAACTTCACATCCCTCCCAAAAAAGGAGAAAGTTGTCAGATGTGCCCAGACTTAAAGTGGGCTGACTAAATTCTGATGTCTTTGGTCTTCTATTTCTTCTCTTTTTTAAAAAGGGATCTACTGAATTGGTGTAATAGGATTGCTCACAGCTTTGACAGTTCATCTTCATCACCATCATTCAGTATTTTTCAAGAGGTAAGATACTGTCATACTGTGTTTTCACATTGCTCAATAAGGCTGTTAATTTCCATTGCTGTTTTCTGTCCCTGGGTTGCTATCAGAGTTTTTCCTTTAGTCTCAGTCTGGCTGCTTACCTATAGCTAGTTAACACTAAACTAAAGGTGCCTTAAAGCTAATCAGGGATCGGCAATAACAGCTCAGTGGTTACGGGGCTGGCCCTGTGCACCAAGGCTGGTGGGTTCATACCAGCCCAGGCCTGCTAAACAACAATGACAACTGCAACCAAAAATATCCAGGCATTGTGGTGGGCGCTTATAGTCCCAGCTTCTTCGTAGGCTGAGGCAAGAAAATCGCTTACGCCTCAGAGTTTGAGGTTGCTGTGAGCTGTGATGCTATGGCACTCTATTGAGGGCAACATAGTGCGACTCTGTCTCCAAAAAACAAACAAAAAGCTAATTGGGGCTTGGCGCCTGTGGCTCAAGTGGCTAAGGCGCCAGCCACATACACCTAAGGTGGCGG